AGTATCCTGGGAGGGAGTGACTGATATTTTCAGTCGGTAGAGTTGGTGAAGAAGTCCAGATATATTTCAAGCTGAACAGCGAGCACCTACCGCGAAAAGTAAATGGGGCACTAGCAGACTCTTATACCTGAGCCCCAAACAGAATCTGCCGCCGATCAATCATTGTGAGATGGAACCCACAATTGCTGTTCGTTGAGCAGCAATCCCTACCGGCAACACGGGTTAACAGGTACTAGTGGACCTGACTATGCAGTGTTGGCAACTTCAATCAGAGGGTCGGGTAGAGGTGCCATGCGGCCGGCAACCACAGCCGCAATCGTAGCGTGAGGGAGATGCAGGCAATGCGATTGCCCCGATTCGATGCAGGGCTGGAGCTGGCCGAGATGTGTTCATGAGGTGTTTTCATCGAGCACGCATGATGTCACTAGCGGGACTTGTGGACGGAGCGTGTCTTCCAAGGTTGGTGGGGTGCGCTGTGCCCCTCACTAGCAAGCCCGAGGTGCCGACGGACCGTCGTCAACTCCTTCCCCCTTTCAGTGCTGTTTGCGCCTCACGCGCCATATCGTTGGATGGTATTTTTACGCAGCCTTGGGTCTATTTTCCTGACGACTCTGGGCCATAGATATTAATGCAGCTAAAAGCACGACATATAGTGGCTGCATTCCGCAATTTCGTAGTGCCTGCGACGAACAAAACCCATTCGACAGCCCCTAGGAAAGCGAACCACGCGCTGATGTATCTGGGTGTTTTTTGTACATCACAATACAGCTGAAAGCTGTTGTACGACTCGACCCGCACCTGCCTGGCACTTCAGCGGAAGAAGGGATCGTGCGATGTTGGATTAACGCCTTTCCAGCAGTTCCGTGCTCAGATACGGCGTTCTTGCCGAAATCAGTACCTGCTTGCAGCACCTTTCTGGGACTTCTCCATCGGCATCCCAGTGACGGACTAGAAAGAGTTAGGAACTTGGGTGCAGGAAAATCACTCAGCGCTGGCATAGTCAACATCAAGACGTAAGAAAGGCCGCTGTTATAGTGTTCGTACATGGAACTACGACCTTCATCCGCACATTTCCGACAAGCTCTCGTCGCGCACAAGTATGCGTGCGATGCCTATGGTTTCGACAATATGTCGTACATGTACTATCTTCAACATTGGTCGATGTGAGAAATATGAAAACCATGAACGAAGAGGTTACAGCGAACCAATGTCGTGATAGATCAGGCGCGGATCTGGAAAGTACCTGCAAGGCTGCTCACGAACCTTTTAGCTGCTCGGCCAACGGATTAGTTCTAGTTAGACGGATTCACAGCCACCAAAACTGCATCAGGATCACATGCTCAAAGTTACTGTATTTCCCGATCTTCCAAACGAGGACAGGGACCATACATGGCCTTGCTTTCGATTTCAGAACCGCGCTCTCGAATGAGTACCACTGTGAAGTCTCGCCCAGTCTGTCATTGTTGCCACGCAGTTCCACGTCGCTCACATTCTCACCTCTATCGCTATGAATATCCTGTAATCTCGTGTCTTTGCCAATGATAGGCAGAACGCCCTGGATATCGGGTATACTGCGACTGCTGCATCACGCAAATACGTGAGAACGTCATTCATCGCTTCACTATATGTCTCAGGCTTTGTCAGCTATGCTCAGTCTTTCCGTGGAGGTACGTCCTGCCTCATCTCTGCATCCTGCTCAAAGCGGCGAACCTCCTTACAAAATGATCCCAGACTTGAGAGACTGCTCCTGTTTCTCTAGTATATAACGACACGGAAAGTTCTGGACCTTCAGCCTTACCAGATGCTTGCAGAAATTGCATACCGATCCGACGTCTCGAAACCCTCACATCTCTTTTCAAGCGAATGCGAAAAGCCTTTGAACACTTCCGTTGGCTCAAGGCACGCCTGGTTTGCTAGGCAGCGCCCTGTCAGCAGATCGAGCACGAGCTTTATTCACACCTGGTCTGAGCTTCTACAGGAGCTTCGTACGCTTGTCAGTACATAAGGACCCCTTCTCTAGTAACAACTGCTCAAATTATCGGGACTCTTCTCAACTTCCAGTCACAGTAGACTTGCACTCCCTTGCCCTTCAAGACCAGAAATACCATTGTGCACCTTACGAACGACCTGGAGATTTCACTCATTTTTACTTCCATAGGCTAAAGGTTTGTCTCATCGCCAAGCATGTGTTCCGAAACAACTGACAACTCGTCTCAGATACGTTCTTCTACAGTCTTGTCGAACGGAAATTCCGGTCTCAACTCTACCTTCCGTGAAAAGGCTACTTAAGAACTTCATTTAGTTGTCTACGTAGCAAACAAGATGTCTGCTTCAACGGCCACTACAACCGGTTCCAACACGCCTGCCAACAAAGTCAACGCTTCTGCTACGCTTAGCGAAGACGAATCCTTCCACAAGATAGCGGCCGAGGCAGAGGCGAAGCATGTTGCGAATGTCGCGACTCAAAATAGAAAGCTTGAAATGGTTGAGAAGAAGCTCAATGAGAAGCTTTCATCCAATGGCAAGGCACTAGTTCTCAAGGACAAGCCTACTCGACCTACACATCGACCCACGAGGAAAAATCGCAAGCCGCTTTCCCCACCTAGCAATAAGGAGCACGACACCCGAACAGCTGCAGTGGATATCAAAGCTACTATCAAGGAGAAAAGGCAGCTCGCCATTTTATCAACTTCTCGTCCGAGTCTTAACTACGACAGGATTATCGAGCAACGCGTGGTCAACGGCGTCGTTGAGCGCATTACCCAGCCTGACAACTCCCAACACACATCTGTGGTGAACAAGACACTTCCTATCTACAGCTACGTAGATATTGTCGAGCAGCGCGTAGTCAACAACGTCGCTGAGCGTATTCCTGAGTCTGCCGATACGCCTCAAGCTGCCGCCTCTAATATCGACACTGACTCAGATTCGGCTGCTGAGTCTGACAACGATACAGAAGAACACGTTCCCAAACTGGTACAAGAGTCTTCTACTGCCCACCAAAGTACGGATTCACTTTTGGAAAGATCTAGCTCTGTCAAGGCTGCCAGCGCCACCGCATCATCCCACGTCTATGACGATGTCTCGATGACCGATGTCGACAATGAGGCGCTGCTTCTCAGCTTTGCGAAGGAGGCAGCACTGGCCGCTGCTCCAGTCGAGCTTCCCGTTACTGCATTCAAGGATCAAAAGCCTAACAAGGCCAAGGAGAAGGATGCAAAGGCTTCTGACCTTCTAAAAGAGGTGGCTATGGTCGATTTAGAAGTACCTCAGAAGCAGCTCAAGCTCGACACCGCAAGGACCGCTACTGGGATTGCCGACCCCACCACTCTAGCGGACGATGGATATGTGACGGCGCTTCTGAAAATGCCAAATGGCCCTGGCGTAACTAGAAAATCTCGTAACCTTCATGAGAAGCAAGTTGCGATGCACATCACCCCTTTCGCATTGCCAGTCACTGCACCAAAGCAAGATAAGACCCTAAAAGCCAACCAAAAGGTAGTCAAGGTTGGTGGAAAGAAAATAGTCTCGTGTGAGACGGACGACTCCGATTTTGTCGCTTCTCTTCTCTCCAAGCCCAACGGCCCAGGCGAGAGGAAAAAGGTTCACGATCTTCACAACCATCTTGTCCAAATGCACGTCCCATCATACAAGCTTCCGTTTTCTGCTCATGGGCAAAAGAAGACTAAAAGGACGAAGTCTGTTGATACCCCTGTCGCGAAGTTTATCCATGGACCTGTTGCTGTCGACGCATCAGCAGACGACACAGAGCTTATTGTTGGCGATTACGCATCCAATGTTGCTAATTTGAAAGCCGAAAATTCCATACACGACAAGGGAACTCTCATCGGCAGCGTCTCCCAAATTAACCCTTTCCCCATCAATAAAGCTAAGGACAATCTGCAGCAGATCGACGTTCGGGTTACAGACACCATCGAGAAGCAAGTCATTCCTGATGACACTACCCCAGTAACCCCTCCCACATCTGATCTCGACTTCTCCTCCTCTGGCTCAGACTACCCAAAGTCAACCAAGACTTCCCGTCGCTCCTCCTTGGTGCCTGCCGTTGATTCTATTCGCCGCAAGGCTGAAAAAGCGCGCACCACCTTCCTTGGGAAAACCTCTTTAGAGATGTTCGTGAATATACTCGACTTCGAGCGTTGCGACGGAACGACCACCAAAGATGACGTCTGCAAGGCCTTTGCTTCCCTTGCTGGTTGTCCCATTGCCAGTCTGGAATCTGTCAAGATTCAGCGCAAGATCAAACTAGGCGGCACTTCACTCTATGGCTTCCTTCATCAACTCGACTTCGATGACAATGACATCACTCTCATTGGCAAGGTCATGAAGACCTTCGAAGAGGCGGCCAAGAATGAATTGGTATCTTCTAAGCTGGACCTTGCTTTATGGCTTGCGGAATCGTCTCGGGATGATGGCAGTCATCAGGGTCTGCACTCCCAGCATGCTTCTAAACTCAGCGCGTTCAGACAAATTATCGCATAAGTCACATCAATATTCATGATCGGGGTCGAGTGTTAGGCATCCGCCATTTAGGATGCAGTTCTTGATTGTTTGGTATTTGCGAAACCTTTTTCCGCTATTGCTCATTACCATAGTACTGCCATTACCACTCGGTATCGAAGCAAGGCTTCCACATCGGTTGAGTTTATGGGCTTTGACTCGCCTGGAGTCAGGTTTGAGTTGGCCTATCGCTCCCTACTGTGAGTATTTGTCTAGGTATCTTGAGAGTGTGGTGCTACCTGTGACGATGAAGCTATAGAATACAGGAAAATTGACCATAGATTCAATGTTGATATTCAAAATCCTAATCCAAAATTTCAAGTAAAACCAGTGGTATGTGTATAATGGACACATGTCAGTGTGATGGCACTAGGAAGATGGATGTGTGGTTTGCGTTCATAACTTCATTGATATTCATCTAGCAACACAGTTTGTGTGCGATGCTATAGACTGTCCCATCTCACAAACACGTGCAAGGTTTAGACTTTCTGCTCAACCCGGTGGTTCTGTGTCTCAGCACCACCAGCATTCTCCATCTCGTATGTGACAGCCTTCTCGCCTGCGCTGTCCAAGATATCAGCCATACCACCAGATCCCCTTGTGAGTTCTGCACCCTTGCGACCGATAAGGTGCCAAGGCAGGTTGAACATCTCGTCGAGCGACTCGAGCGACTTTCCAGAAGTCTCGGGAAGGAAGAAGTAAACCCAGAAAAGACCAATGGCAGTAACGCAAGAGAAAAACAGCATAGTACCACCGTGGGTCATGGAGATGAACATGAGAGGTACCGCCTTTGAGTTACCGTACTGGTTGACGAAGTGGAACGTCATAGCGATGGAACCACCAAGCGCACGCAGACGGAGTGGGTAGATCTCGGAGTTGATGAGGTACTGAATTGAGTTCCATCCTAGGGCCCAACCGAAACCAGAGAAGTAGACCATGACGATTGCGCCCATGGCCGCGTGTTTCTGACTGGAGCTTTGAGGCTCACCGTCAGAAACACCAGTATCGATGAGTAGGAAGATGGCCATGTAGAGCATGGATACGAGTTGTAGTGTGATACCGGTAGCGAGAGAACGTTTGCGGCCGAGGAAGTCGATGAGGAAGAATGCGCAAAGCATTGAGCTGACGAACTTGACGACACCGAAGATAGCTGTCGCGAAGAGCTTCTCGTTCTGACCTGTCGTGCCCATCATAGCGAAGTACTGGGGAGCGTAAATGGTGATGCCTGTTCGCTTAGAGTCAGTGTGTGTCGAATGTTTACGCTAGTGGGAGAACATACTGTTCGCGCCAGACCACTGTGCTAGCAGCTGTGACATGACCGAAAGCTGGATGCGGTAAAGGTTGGCCTTGCTAGAGAAAAGTTCACGGACTGGTCCGAGCCAGGTAGTGCCCATGGTAGCTTCGCGCTCACGGTTGAGCTGGTCGTTGATGTCCATGATCTCCGAGGTAACGTAAGGGTGGTCAGCGGGAAGGTTGCGGAGGACCGCAAGGTTGTCAAGAGCCTCCTCGTGGCGGCCGACCTTGATCAACCAACGAGAGCTCTCCTTAGCGAACCAGGAGAGTGTGAAGATGATACCAGCGAACATGAGGTGCATGCTGTTTGGAACGAGCCATTGGGCGTCAGTGGCAGACGAGATGTGAATGGAAGAACCCCAAGATGCGAAGTAGGCAAGCATGATGCCGATGTAGACTGAACCAGCGAAAGCGCAAACACAGAGACCTCGAATGGCTCTTGGTGCTGTCTCAGCTAGGTATGTGGGTGCAACGACGGTGGTCTGTCCGATACCAATACCAGCAATAAATCGACCGGCGTAGATCTGTCCGACGGAACCAGTGAGAGAACTGGTGAGGAAGATGACGATACCAATGACCCAGATAAGACACAGTTGTCGAGTGGCCCAAAGGCGGCCGATTTTGTCGGTGATGAAGAAAGCAATCAGCGAACCCAAGATGGAGCCCATCTGCACCATGGATGTGATGTTTGATAGAAGCTCGGCAATCTCGTGCTCGCTCTTGCTGTCGTCGTCAAGTCCAAACTTGCGCCTGAAAGGGTCGAGTTCGGATGTAGTACCAATGAGACCTTCATCGATACCACGAGCAGCGCCCATGAGTCCGAAGACTATAGATGTTAGGTTGTTGAGCGCGTTGGGTGATGTAATTACTTACCAAAGACACCATACCAGAGACGCCAGTTAAGGCTCTCCTTGGGAGTATCCTTCAGATTCTCCTTCCAGGGGTTTAAGACGACCATGATGGGCAAGATTTGCAGTGATGGGTCGAGTTGAGGATGGGATTGAGCTGCTTCACCTACGTCTGTCAAACAGGGAGGAAAGGCAGTAAAGCTCGAATCTCTACGAAGGTATGCGCGCCTCTTATACTGAATCTTGCAAGCGATGGTGGGGTGTGATATGCGGAGACCCTAGGTGCGGACTGTCAAAGCATGCCCATCCATGACACACCCCAGAGCCTACCCCGGAGGCGTCTACTCCACGTTCGTTCATCGCCAGTAGTGGTCGGCGTCGGTCTTCCGAATAGAGAGGCGCCGGATGACCTTCCCAATCCCAACTGTGGTTTCCTCAACGTTCAATAGGTCGTCCCGTCTCATCGGCATTGCAGGCGTTGGACCTAGGCCTTGCGCAGAAAGCGGACCGCTGATCGTCTGATCAAATACCGATCAAGCGGCGACGCCGTCACCTCTCACGCCTAGCACAAGAGCGCCATCTGCACAAAGGTTACACCCCGCCCAGCAAATGGGCGGAAGGTTGGCAGGCTTGAGTGGAGAAAGCTTCCTTGTTCGTGCGTCTTGTGGAGCTTGGGGCCGAGCTAAGCACCAGTCAACAACCTGGCCACTACACGATGGGAACCCCGCATTATCCCCCAAACGCTCTCGTGTCCCGGATTTTCTACAGTAGCTGTCGGTCGAGGAAGAGAAGCTTGTCAAGCTCATGGTAGCGGCCGGAGAAAAGCCGGTAAAACATGCCACGCAATTGGCTGGACGCACCGCGGGAAAATCTCGCAACCAGGATAAATTGCTACGCTATCCTGATGATGCCTCGCGACGAAGACCCTCGCCGGTAGAATTAACCCCGAGGAGAAAAAGACGTCGGAGCAGGATTTCGGCTTCTGCGACTAATCTCTTATGGACGACACCTCGTCTCGCGGCGGTGTGTCGACAGCCGATGCGGCTCCAGCTCCTTCAGCCTCTTCTGTTAGCGCCTGTTTCCCAACTTCCTCAAACGGCATGCCGTCCTGCAAAGGCTCTTGAAATAACGAACCCATTCTTAGACGTAGATACAATACATGCAGAAGTTCTGGTAAAGCTAATGATGCGCAAGTGTAGAGTCCGCTGCTTCTTCGGTCGCTCTGGTGCCAATACGAGTCCTGGTTGCCGGTGCCTCTAATGATCGTGTAGCACGATGATGTGACTCTTGGCTGCGTAACCCCAGAGTCCGACAGAGAGTTCTTCCATGCAGCGGCAGACGCTGACTCGTCAAACCCACAATAGCGAGCCTGACATCTCCAAGCGCTCTGGCTGGACTGTCGTGACAAGAGCCCAGACCGCCGGGGCATCTTTCTCCGCAGAGCTATGCACTCGTAGTGCATCTTGTCATGCGATGCAAAGGAATACGCAGGGCTAAAGACATGGTACGTTCATCTGCCTCGGTCGGGACTCCGAGTGTTATCGGGGCGAACGTAGGCGCTTTGACTGATTGTCTCCACACACACACAGAGTGCGCGTGGGATGGTTCGTCAGGACTAAGCTCGCCATGCCTTAACCAAGTGCTTGTAAACAGTGTAAGCTGTTACGCCAAAAACTTGTAAAGTGCTTGACTAAGACGTCAGCAAAGTAAATCTTTCGCTACCATGCGACTCTCGTGACTTCGGGTGGACCATATCCTCTTAGCATAACCGTCGTGATAACCCCGAGGGTCATGCGGTCTACTACTTGGTCCACAGTGGGCAAGGTTTATCGGCTGGTCGGCGATGGCCGTGGGTCTAATCCTTCAGCCCACGCATACTGTATAAAAATGGGTGCTGGTGAGAGTCCATAATTAACCGGGTGTCGGAGGTCGAAGTGAACAAGGCGCATATGGATGCGATCTTATCTTCCAGTTTCTATTGCCGGCTAGGTCGTACTCAACAGATGCTGCTTCGTACAACACGTTCGGACATCTTGCGTGTGGGTGTATCTGCAGCGGTAGTATCGCGGCATCGGGTGGGTACTGACGCTGACAAACGCTTCACAGTCGATTAGCGGCGTCAAATCGTATCTGGAGCGAAAAGCACGCACTGACAAGCTCATAGTGGATATTGACCAAGACGCCAATGTTGGGGATGGCCCCATTTATACGTCTTGGAAACACGGCAACTGAGTCAAACCGTGCGGAGTAATAGATTCCGGGGTACGAGGTGGGTGAATCACTCAGACTGGACGCCTGAGGGTCTTGCACGGTTACTCGGACCTTAGCCTCCCAATTGAAGGCTAGAAGATGGAAGACCTGTGGGATCATAGGAGTGTCGGTGTGATAGCAGCGAATGAGCTGCCGCATTGCATATGAACAGCCTATGACAAGGAAAGTGTAAGCGATTTCTCGCGACCGAGGGGCAAGGCGAATCGCTCATCGCACTATGGTAAAAGCAAACCCGCTGCAAAATTTTTATCGTGCGAGTGACTGAGAACAAACAAAGACCTTACCTGCTTCTGACAATGTGTAGCCGAAGTTACGCTGGGGAAGGCACAATGACTTGTTGATAGATAAGGAGATATGCACCATCATCAAGCGAGGACCTCACCAGGCCATATCTGACTCATTGGGTCGTAGTAGTAAAGCCAATGTACATTGAAAGGTCAAATCAACAAGCTCGAAGACTGATACTGTTCAGTGTCGTCTCTACGCTTTTGATGGGTTCGCAACTTTCACATCGTTAACACAACGGCATGTATTACCTCACCAAATATCCATTGCATGCTAAGATAGGCAAGCGATGGCCTCATTTCGGAAGGATGGCTATATGATCGGACTAGGCCGACCCGGGAATTGACACAGAAAATGAACCATTCGATACTGCTGTCAGGCCACTTTCATAGAGAGCTCACTCGTCTTCAGAGACCCCCTCGGCATCCTCTTCTTCCCCATTCCAAGTAGTCCGCTTGTTCAGACCAAAGTTGCCACTCTCCACAGGACCTCTCTTTTCCCCTCGAATCGCCTCAGCAGTACCCTGCTCGTCTTCCAATCCTTCCCCAAACCGATCCAGCAAATCCTGATCTATAGAGCCTCGCATCTCTCTAACATTCAAACTCGTGTCTCGCAAACCTCCCTCGGCTTCCCCGTTCTTCGACGCCAACTCCCGGTAACAACGCTGTCCATTCTTGCCATGCTCGTGATATCGCTTACACCACGCACCTTCCGTGCTCTCTTCAATCTTCAGTGTAAGGTTCCTCCGACACATACGCAGACTAGTCTGCATAATGTTGAACAGCAGGTCTGGGTGTAATTCGAATCCCTCCCTCGTCATTTCTCCGATAACTTCCTCAGCTTTATCACCAAACAAAGCCAAAGCATCGGCCCAGAGAAACCTTGCGCCGCACCCTGGAGACGTGAACTTGTAAAGGAGATTTAGAAGATCGGTGTTGATCCATGTGACATCTTTCTCGAGCTCCGGATCTGTGACAACAAGACCATATTTCTTTGGGTCTGCATCGAATTCCGAGGGAATATAGTGACCCTTTGCCAAGGCCTCTTGTGCTTTACGCTTACGTCGGTCGAGAGCGGGATTGGGACGCCATGTCTGGGTTTGAGGCTTCTGCTGATCTTTCTTACGCATGTCATGAAAAGCGCGTATCCAGGTATCGGATATCATATCGCAGAGATTCCATCGCTGTTTCCGGTAGCAGAGAACGTAGAGTTGTGTGAGGGCTTTGGCGCTGTAGGGTTGGGCGTGATCAGGATCGGAGGCGTTGCTGAAGCTGGGAAGGTCGATAAAGGTTCTTGTGGTGCTATAAAGGGCGTCTAGAATGGCGTATACGTCCGCATCGGCTACAAATTGGGCAGGATCTGCAGGGAAAGATGGTACTGGTAGGTTTTGGAGGAACGGAGATTCTGCGCTCTCTTCATTCACTTTAACCACAGAAGCGCCGAACGAAGTGTTATTCTTGGGCGGGCGACCTCTTGTTTTTGGCGGCTGCTGGAGGTGCTCTTGTGCTTTGTGTGAGACGTAAGCTAGGTAGGTGTCAGCGGATCTAAGCTCCTTTGATCTGTGACGTTTGGTACTTACGTGGGTCACTTGTCAGAAACATTCTGTCGTCATCTCCATGGTCCTCTGAATTCTGATCAATGAACAAATCAATGTCGCTGCCCTGTATAGCGTCGTACTGCTGTGGCTTTTGAATCGCCCGTCCAGTACGAGTCGTGACCGGCGCCGGCTGTGCTAGTTGCTGAGGAAATCCATCATCTTGGTCTCTGTGGCCATCATGCGGCAGGGTCGCATGCGAATGCGGACTTGGAGGATCTAGTCCCATGTTGACTTTGACCATCAACTTCTGAGATGCTCCATTCTGTGACGTCCCAGGTGTTGGTGTCGCTGACTGCGAAGGCCTGCCTTTGGGTCTACCACGTCTACCGCCACCACCTTTGGTGCTGCCGCGAGGATGTCTTGGCCTCTTATCCGATACGACGGTCTTTTGTTTTCCCATCAGGTTGTTGACTGTAGTGTAAGTAGGGTAAGTCTGCAAGAATATAGCTGAGTCGCTGTAGTCAAGACTAGGTTGTGATTTATACAGTGGTAGTTGCGTTACAGTTAAAGGTCTTCTGTCGTGAATGAAACTCTTAGAATGATCTTCGTCCATTGTTACGCTGAGCTGTAGTGAATGTGAGCGGTGATCGCTGGATGAGTCTAGCTATACTAGGCTACAGTAGATAACACGGTGAGGTTGCGGCTGGGGACCAATAGGATGCGCAAATAGCTGGTAAGAGAAAAAAGAGCAGTATAGGCCTGCCGATGTGGTGAATAGCAACCCGACAATGAAAGAGATTGGGCCTTTTGGAATGAGAGCAGGGGCTTAACCTTGCCAGATACATCATCCGAGGAGATTTGTCATGCGCACCCGTGGTAGAGAGGTAATGGACAATCAGAAGTTATATTTTTTTAGACCTCTCAGGCCAACTCTCGTAATCTGGAGAAATTCATGACATGAAAGCTCGGGAGCCGCTGGGCAATGTGATGAAAATTTACTTTACCGTAAGAACTTCA